TCTGTTCTTGCTCCTGACCAATGAAGTGAATTCTGTCAAAATAATTGAACCATTTGACTCCACTTGTTTGGGTTTTTTACAGTGGCAAAAAGATTTTCCTAGAGCAATCAGTTATAGAAATATTTGTTCTAAAATTATTCCCAGGTGTTACAGTATGCAGACACCGTGTTGACATTTTGATCCTTAAAAGATATAGAATAAGCTAAAGATGATGTGTAAGTTGTTCTAGTTCTGAAGTTATGACTTGCAGTCAGTAAGACAAGATTTTGTGGGGATTATACCAGTTTTCTTCTGGTGGAGAGCCAAAGACTTGGGGCTCTGATAAGTGCCAAATGAAAGTTTTTGCAAGGTGTATATATGCAGGGCTATAGATTGTAGTGTGAAATGTGGCACTATATTCTAATGCTTCATGAAGAGCTGCTTGAAAAATTTTGTAGGTATGAGATTTAAGCTAATCAGTGACTTTGAAAATTTACCTAATGGTTCGTAGTACAAAGTAAAGTGATCTATCTTCTTTTTACCTAAAACTTATTTAAAAGAATTCTCAGACTTGTGATTTTACTATCTTGAGTAGGAAGATGCAAAAAAAAAAAACCATTGGTAGATGGACACCTACAAAACCATGGGTGACATCTACTTTTGTAAATTTATTTGTTGGGTACTTGTCTTTTCAAAATTGCTGTTGTAAACTAAATTAAGGGAAAACTCATTGGGAGATGGGGAAGCTCACTGGGAGACAGGAAAACTGTTTCTCAGTTTTTTAACAGGGTTGAACAATCTTCTACTCACCTTTTTTGTGTTAAAACCTTCTGCTTCTTGGCTGCTGCTCTCTCCTCAAAGACCATCTGGCACTTGCCTGATGCTGTTACCAGGAGGATAGACTTCTTGTTGTGTCAGATGTCATTTAATTTCACTGCTTAATTGTAACCATTTCTATTCTGATCAATTTTTTGTTTTAAAAAGTATCTGTAAAGCATAAAGATTCAGTTGGAGTCCTTGAAGTTAAAATAGAAAGGACAGCTGGGTCTTATTTAAGTTTGAAGTATGAAAGTCTGTGAAGCAACAGAAGCACCACCAGCAACAATAAAGCAGTTCTAAAATGCACGCAGCTGTCTATCAAGCAGCTTGGAATTGGGCTATTTTTAAGTCTTCTCTCTCGATTATACAAAATATTCATGAGATAGACTAATTTTCTTTGGCCATTTTAGTCAAAGTAAACAAATGGTATCTTGTCTCAAACCAATTAAAATTTTTTTGTAGCTAGTGGAGTGTTTACCTAGAACTATCTTGAGTGTTATAGAGGAGTGATTTGGTCAGGAATGCTGTTGCCTGGAGTACTGTTCTGTTTTGTTTATTTAATTGATGTCTTTGCCCTCAGTGGAATTTTTAGTATTGGAGTGTTTTATACTCCAGTGCATGAATCTTCAAGGTCTCTTGAGCCTTTTTTTGCGTTAAGAACTTTATCAAATTTTTATAGATCTTCACTAGAAAAGATCTGATTTTTAAACTGTGTAAGAATTCTTCTATCATGTGTGTGTAAATTATATAACCTCCTACGCAGTAATTACCTTAAGAGAGCAATAATACTTGAAGATTTATAGTTGACTGTGAAATCTCTTTTTTGATAGCAGTATCGGACACTTTGATGCCACAGGAACCAAAATCTGTTACTTAAATTATATAATGAAATTATCATTCAGGTCTAAGAATCACTAGTAATTTAGTGAATTACTGTCTCTTTAAAATAATAAAAAGTGGTAAAGCTGGGGTGCAGTGGTTAGCCTGTAGTTAGCAGGTTTTTTTAATCAAAGCTGGAGTGTATGGATGCTTTCCTTCAGCTGCATGGTTACAATCCACTGTGGGGTAGGTGGCATTAAGTAAAGTCACACATCACTCTGTCCTTTTGCCCCTTGCTGTGCTGAGATACATTCTCTCAGCAGTTTTTGAACTGTTGCAAAGTGGAGAGGTTTCTTGCTTATGATGAAAATTTTTTGTAATAAAGCTGTGAGATGGAATGATATGTTTAACAAAATTTGGGACCTCTTATTTGGCCCATTTTTGGTAAAAAGAGTGGAAAGCTGATTAAACCATTAAAAGCTTCAATTTATTTTATTTATAGAAACTCTTCTAAAGAATATTTTCTGGGAAGAAGGAATGCAGTGAGGAGAAGGCATAGGAAAATGCACAGCCTAAAGCTCTGGTAGTATTTAAAATTGGTGCCTATGCTAATCTAATATGAGCTCACCACAGATCCCAAGGGAGCTTGACACAGGATTCCAGAGAAACTTATTAACATCCAAAATGTGTTTTTTATAATAAAAGTCAGGAGGTTTTCTTACTGAAAAAAAGAAATCATGTGCTTTTTATATTTGAGGAGGGGAAGGAAAATCTACAATGGATCACTTAACATTCTGTTTAATGATTTTATTAGTTTGTATGCATTCACTGTGGTCTAAATCCAAGTTTGCCTTTGTTCATGAACCTGAGCATTAAGCTGATTTATTTTTGGGAAAATGCACAATTAGTTCTAAACATTTAATAATTTTTATTTAGTAGTGCAATTGTTTAAATAATCAGGGTATTTAAATTTCTTCCTCTGTTTAATATTAATTATAAATATTATATAAAGAAAATTATTAATGTTGTGACTGATTTTTCTCTGAAATACTAAATGCTCTCTGGTTGTGAAATAACTTGAGTGCATTATTAAATACTGCTCTGGTAAGGCTAGCTTACTTCACAGAGAAATCTGGTCTAGCCTGCTTCTCTTGCGTATATAGAAACTACAGAATACAGACACGTAGACACTACAGAATACCCATATAGACAGAAATAGCTCAGGTTTGCAGGCACTGAGAATGTGAGTAGACTGAACTATGGAAAACATTTAAAGGAGAATACCAATAAGGCATAAGGCAGGCTGGAATGAGAGTAGTGGATTTAACCACTGGTTGGTCAGTCAGTCAGGACTTAACAAGTAGTGATGAATTTCAACCAACTACTAGAAAAAGATATGTTAAAATCCCTGTATTTAGTTTGGTTTATGTCTGTACTTTGCATTTCATGCTTATTCAAAAATATGAATAATATCCTTCACTAGGCTATATAATTTGTTGATACTATTTCAAACATTATTAGAAAAAGCCTTTTGTGGTCATTAGAGATCCTTAAATAATCAGATTTGCTAATGTAGTTAGTTACTGTCAATACCACTAGGGTGTAGGTATCTTATCATGATATATCCATGGGAAGAGGAAACTGAAGCTTATCAAGGCTGAGTCCATAATTGCTGAAACTAGCTAATTTCTACTGCTTCTATTGTTTTGAGCATCAGAGCTTGTCATCTAACAATACAAAACATAGCAGAACAGTGTGTAACTTGGGGCTAAAATGATATGTCAGTATTCCACCTCTGAACTATTCTTGTCTAAATTCAGTATTCCACAACTGTAACAGCATCTGCTAAGTGCATTTAATTTCTTATTAAAACATCATTCATTTCTAAAGTTAAGATGCTGACAAACCTGTCTTGGTGAGCAGTGTACTTCTGTGGTCCATATGTACCTAATTCTTGGGAATTCTTTTGGTCTGTAGTATAAACTAACTAACAACAAATGTAGTGTAAACTAACTAACAACAGTGCTTGTTGTCTGTTGTTTACCTTCAAACGTGGTCCATATGTACCTAATTCTTGGGAATTCTTTTGGTCTGTAGTATAAACTAACAGCAATGGTTTAATTTCTTCCTTTTGACAGTGCTTGTTGTCTGACACAACTTTTTTACCTTGAAAGATCCTCTTTTTCAGAGAGGTTCTGGAGACATTTCCTAGACAGTTCCTAATTCCAACTAAAGTTTTCAATTTGAGAATCAAAAGGAATGTTAGGGTTTTTATCCCTTAAGAGTGTGTGCAGCAATGCTGTGGGGGCTGTCATAGATGTGTAAGTACATAGAGCTCTTGCTCCGAATTGTGTGCTATGAGGTTATTCTTTGTTTTGAAACAGGAGATCCTGAGAAGGAACTTAATCCAAAGAAGAAGATTTGGGAGCAAATCCAACCTGATCTTCATACCAATGACCAGTGTATTGCTACATACAAAGGAGTTCCATTTGAAGTGAAAGGGAAAGGAGTGTGCAGAGCAGAGACCATGGCAAACAGCGGAATTAAATAAATAAATGGTTATTAGAAACTTTTACAGATGTTGAAATAGAGAGTGATGCAAGCACGATAATAAACATGAAATGCATGGCTAAGACCTGTTGTGTTTGACTTCTTTTCCATAATGTGTTACATCTCCAACATTTTGACAATTCACTCCTTCACTAGGCTTGTTGTCCTTGAGGTTGTGTGCTGTCAGCAGTTATTAACCACTCAGTGCTCATAACTTAATTGCCAAGGCTTGTTTGTGGTGGGACCACAGGCAGGCAAGTAACTTTTCTGGACAGCTTGAAGGTGTAGAGCTTCTATTTAGCAAGAACTAAAGGAAAAAGGAAAATATTCTGCCGTGTTCCTTGTGTGCTCATTGCAGGACTAGCAGCTGGTTAGTGAAGAGCACAGTTCTTTTATTCTTCTAGTCACTTTGTAATAGTTTTTCTCCTCTTCTTCCAAGCAGTTTTCAGATGTATTGTAAGCCTCTGCACCTTAGTTCTTGCCTGTGTTCTCTCTGTAGTCTGCAGTCAGTTGTAACTGGAAGATTAAACTGTGGTGGTTTATGCCCTAGGATGTACAAGTGGATACACTTTCATGTCCCCAGAACTAAACTGTTATAATTTCATTAAGATCAAAGCTGCCACTTTGCTAGAGTAGTTCTTTATCTAGTCCACTTAGGTATATCCTTCCAAACTGATAGGTAGGACTAAGAAATAATTAATAACAGATCCCTGGAACTAATAAAAAATTAATAAAGCCCCTCAAAACCCAAAAATCCAGCCTGCAAGGAAACCCAAAAAAGTAACCAAACCAAAAAAAATCTGTTTCCAGTGCTCAAACAGGTATAAAAATAATTGATGTTTTGATTTTGTTTTAATGTGCCTTTATGCAATGATGTTTTATACAAAAAATGCTTTGGTTTTAACAGAAATAGCTTCTTCAATTTTTAGAGTTAGTATTATTTCATAGTAATGTTGTACAAATAGTTATGTTGCTAGGCTGTTAGCCTCAAATTAATTCTTTTAATTCCTTACTTGCAGTAATATGAAAATAAATATTTTGCATCCATTCACAATAACCCTTTTGATTAGCTATATAGAGATACTTGAGATATTTTTGCATATAATATTAAATTAAACTGTTGCTGTATAACCATTGAAACAGTAAATAGTATTTTAAATACTGAAATTAAAAACAAACTTCAGCCTTTCTAAATTTTGCAGGCTTTGAACTTCATCCAGTAAGTGGAGAGAAAACAAAATGACAGTGATATAAAATTAAAAGAAACATGCATAAAGAGGAGATGAACAGATTTTCTTTTTGAATGAGTTTTGTTTGTGCCTGTAAAGTGTTAGTTTTTCATGCATCTGGCAATAAGTAATAGTTATTAGTTCTTTTAAATGTGCTGAATAGCATTAAGCACATGGGAGCCATTTTATCTGCCTTGTAAACTGTATATCCTATAATGTCTTATTAAATAAAATCATTGTAGTTCAAGAACTCAGTTATAACTAATCTTGAATCATGGTAGGGAATACTTTTACAACAGATAAATCTTAGCTTTTAGTACCAGAAAGCTCTTTTTAGAAATGGAAATTCAGAGGAACTTCTGAAGGCTTGAAGAATTGAGCAGAGGCCCCCTGAGTCTGATCTCATGCATTTTTTACTTCCGTTTTTATTTTTATTTTTTTCTTTTAAAATTTCATTTTATTCTCCTAGATCTGTATTCTGTGTGAACTGGAATATACAGTCTGGTGTAGTGCAAAATCCCATTTGTAACTACACACATATTAGCATGATTTTGGAGCACTAATTTATTCAGATTTTGTGGTTGAACCTAGGATTCTGAATGCAGTGGTGTGAGGTACTGATAAGCTAAAGAGATATTTCTAATTGTGTGTTCAAAGGTGCTTGGTGTGGATGTGGAGTTTTCCAGTTGATGGCTTTTATTCTTTTATTTCTATTAGATGTTACCTACTGTAGAAAATAGACAAGTGAGCACCTTAAAGCTAATTTTATTCCTTGCTGTGTTTAAGTAGTACTTGATAATTATTTCTTTGTATAAAATTCAAGAGCTTTCTTAAGACAATATTTCTTTGCTCTTTAATTATGCTGCTGTGGTTGTCTAGGAAGATGTATTTATGCTGTAGTGAGCTCAAAAGTGACAACAGGGTACTTGAGGCGCTGTGCAAATATGTTTCCTCACTGTATCCAGCCTCTTCTGCCTTGTCTGCATGAGTAAGTAGGACTGCAGTGAAATCCTTCCACGTGGGACCCAGAAGTTCCTGTAATGAAAAGCAAATTTTAACTAGTTATCTCTTATTTCTTTTCTCCACTCCCATTTCATATGCTTAGTACATTACCAGACCATTTACATGTATGTTTTTTTTTTTTAATCCTGGCAGTAATCCAGTTCATGCTATACGAGTTGCTGAAATTTCTGGGGTTTTTTTCACCTTTCTGAGACATTGACATTTCTGTGAAAATATGTGGTCATGCAGTACTAGCAGTTCTCTCTTCCCTGGTTACAGATGTTAACAGAATGTCTCCAGTTAAAAAATGTTCATGTAAATAAGGAAAACTGGTTGTTTAGCCATGTCACACATTAGTCTGAAATCGGTAGTTACCACATATCCATATTGCCACACTGTTTAGAGCTCTTCAAAAAACTTTCTTGAAAACACTGAAGCACCTTTTGTTGAAAAAATGAATGATGACTTTCTATGTAACATCAACTTCAGTTCCAGCTGTGATCCATAAAACTGAACTATTCTCAACAATTCAGGAAAAACACAAATCAAATGCAACACCTTAAATAATGGGCCAGAGAGCTTTTCTTCAACTTCTGTAATTTATCTGATGGAGGGAAATGGAGAGAACAAGCTGCTTTTCTTTTAGAAAGTACAGAAAATTTTAATAGGACTAGGAGAGGTTGGGCTTTAATTTACAGGTGTAAATGAAATTACGACTTCAGTGCAATCCTGCTAACTCCTCTATATGACAAGAAGCCTACCTTGATGAAGAAGGACACTGCAGTGATTTTGACTCTAACCTAAATGCTAAAGTGTACAGAACTACTTTAAAGGATAAAGTACAGGTCTACTTCCAAGGTAAGCAGGTGTCAAAACCACCTGGTGTATTGATAGTGATTAATCTGTTTTAGACCCTAGGGATGAAAAATATCAAGCACATACAAAATTTTCCTTTAAGCTGCCCAAGGAAGTCTTGAATTACCAGTTTCAGAAAGAGAGGAGAGAGCTTTGATTTGCTGAGGACTCAAAATCAGTTACAATCTGTTCTGAAATTAGTGTCTGCCACTGGCAATTCATTAGGCTGTCGTTGGAAAAAAATTCACTTTTGCAGTCAACTCTGCCGTAGCTACTGTCACCTGAAGATGAAAGAGTTGCCATTAGGGCAGAGACTTTTTTTTTTTTGGTTACCTGGATGAGCTGAACTGTGTCATCGCTTTCATCTGGACACAGAGGCAGGTCAGCCCTGAGGACCAAGAGGGCCAAGTGCAGGCCTTCCTCCCCGAAGTGCCGAGCCAGGGCTGCTCTCACCGTGTCTCTCACTTGCTCTTTGCTCAGAGCACTGTGAGGGCAGCTGGGGGTGTCCAGTACTCGAACACGGAGAGCTGACTCGCAGCCATTTCTCCGGATGAGCCCCGAAATGCGGCCGCTGCGTCCCAGGCTGCAGCACGTGGTGACGGAGCTGGGGCACAGACGGCTCTCAAAGTCTGCACTGCCCAGCAGGCTGTTCCCAGCAGCACTTTTGCCTGTCTGAGCTTTTCCAAGCACAACAAGGTTGATGGTCATCTCATTGCTGTCTGCCATTGTCGGCGCTTTTATCCACAAACCTGTCACTAAGTACAAATAACATTAGGTGCTTCAAATGACTTCGGGGGGTGGGGGGAAAGAAGAGGCAAGAATTTCCAGTATTCAGTGTCTTTTGAGTGTTTTTCCCTGCCTGAAATGTGAAAAGAGTTTTAGGAAGAAGCAATAATGTGGAGAGGCAACAGAGAGGGGAGAAGTTGTGGAACACCTGTGGAAAATACTGTTGGCATTCTGAGACGGTAATAGGTTAGGAGAAGGAGGCCAGTTAGGGAAGGAAGAAGAGAATGGTGACAAATAGGTGCTGCTGTTATTAAGTGACAGTGTTTCAGGATGTAAATATTTACTTCTTGTATGAAAAAGAATAATCAAAGAGCAGTAGATTTTAACGGAGCACTTTTCCATAGCTTAAAATATATATTTCATCAGCTGCCACTGACATTGAAATAGACAGTAGTCTAAAAGGGCTTTCTGATGCAGAAAAATATCTCTATTAAAAAAAAAAAGAAAGAAAAAAAAAGGAGGAGAGCTGAAATAGTCAATCTCATTAAAATGAGATTTTGGAAATGTATACTAAACCAATTTATTAGCATGGTAATTGGAAAAGAAAAACATAGACTGGTGGATAGAGAGAGGGAACTGGCTTGGGATCATTTCCAGTTACTCTATTTGTTCATAAACAAGACCTCTCATTCTCTTTGTACTTTTCTGTAACCCAGTATCTGAAGGGGTTTTGGTGTGTGCTGATCATCTAACAGGAAAATTTGTTATTTAAATTAATTGAGACATGTTTGAGAAGGTAAAACCATAGTGGAAAATAGCGGATTTTAAGTTTCTGTGGCATGTGAACTTCAGAAATTATTTTTTTAGATACTATTTTGAGGTACCCACAGAGAGATCATGGATAATTTCAGACTGGGTTTTCCTGTGATTAATTTATTTAGATTCTTGCTGTACAGTTTAAGCTTTCTTTCTCATATTAATTCCATGCCTAAATCAATATTTTGAAATAACTTCAGTACAGCACCAAAGACACAAGAGCTAATAACATACTAATTTTGTTATAGTCAGCATTGAATATGTACATGATAATCTTCCTTACTGAATTCACAGTGAGGTTTTTGTGGATTTTTCAATGATCAATTTCCTTTTAAGAAGACATCTTATGAAATGATTGTCTTCAGTTATTCATCAGTCTAGATATGCATTGTACACTCTGTAGCATAATAGTAGGAAGTAGTGGACATGGATTAGTCCATTCCTTATTTAAATCATAATCAAAAATTTGGGTTTTTTTCCCTGTAAGCAGTCTACGCTTAAATACTTAGATTAGTTTCATTTTGGGTCACTTACCTTATTTTCCCTTAATTTCTTCTTTCATTCAGGCTTCATTCATAAACCACATGTGCAGTATAGAAAGAAGTTCATACGTGAACTTTGAAACTACCAGCAGCACCGTACCACGCTGAGACTGTTACGTACACGTTAATCTGGTTAATTTATTACTGATAGCTCCTCATTCAATTGCATATGTTTGGTCAGTAGTTGGCACGGTTGAATTTTTGTAACTTAGCTGCAAATAATGTTTTTGAAGTCACTTAAGTGATTGCATGACGTTGATATTTTTAAAAGTAAATTAATTCCAGTTAGTTAAATTCCAGCAGTTAAATGTGCAAATGATAAAAGTAGTAGTGGGATTCCTTTGTATTGCATGTTCTTGAATGTGTCTTCATATGTGCCTGTGAATAGCAAATGCACTCTCTTATTACTGCAATGAATTATTAATTGCAATATTTTCATAGCACAGTGTAAATAATTTGCAGATATAAAGATGTTTGCTTAACAAAATGGATTAAAATAATAACAAATATATTAGAATACAGAAATTATTTGTGAACCAGGAAGAAAACTGAAGACTTCTTGCAGAACTGCCAGTCATGTGCATTAGCTATTGGCTGTTAGCCTAATATTTTTTCTTGCAAGCATCATTATTTGCCATGCTATAGTAGCATTCAAACCAGAGATAGGTCCTTTCTGCACAATCTTCTATAATTTACTTTTTTCCAGTTTTCCACAAGTGGGAAAGTAACTGGTTAGAAAATAAATACAAATTTGTGCTTCAATGACCAGGTTGTAATTTTAGAATGGGAGCATGGATGAGCCTGTCCTGTCTGCTGACAAGGATCAGCCATCTCTCTGTAAATCCCAGAGGTGCAGGCACGAGTTTACTCCAAGGGTATTGAGATAACTTGTCAGTAAAATCACGAATCTGGTGTATAAGCTGTATGTGGTGGCAGGAAAAGAGGAATGTGCTTTGCAGAGCTCAGTCCTGCTGGGGACGTTGTCATCCGAGGTGTAGCTCAATGTGGGAGCTTGTAGGGGTTGGTTTATCACAGTACCAGGGTTGTTCCTGCCAGCCACAGCAGTGAAGGGGCTGCGGTTCCTCTAGAAGCCCGGTGTGTCCTGCTGTGGAGCCACGAGCTCAGCCAGTGCTCTGGCCAAAGGCAGGAGCACCTCGTGTCAATTCACATTGTGAGTCATGAGTGAATTCGTCGTTTGGGTTACTTGGCTGGAGGTGGGCATGTAAAAAATTTTGTTATGGAAGGTTTTTAAGAGCACATAGACAAGTGTTCTTGGGCCTGCCCCTTCTAGCGAGGAATGGGACATGAAAGCTGTCCCTGTACTGTGTGTGTGCCTGAGGCAACTTCTCATGGTTCCCACTGCCTTGGTGTGTGTGCCACTGTGCACAGCCTTTGTGTCTCAAGGCACATTATATATAAAGTGTATGGCAGGGTCCTTCACGTGCTGGTGAATACAAACTCAAAGAAGACTGGATGAGGAGTCACTCAATTGCAAAGCAAAAGGGTAGATAGGTCTCATACTCATAAAATTATGGATCTTGACTTTGGTTAAGCCAGTCTAGATCTGTGTTTTTCATTGGACTGCTCCTTTGCACACAGTAATACCCCTTATGACATCTGAAGTCATATATTAGATGAGGCTGTCATAGCAGTCCCATCCAACTAGAAAATTTAAGCTGGCAGGGGCAAGGATTTAGACTACAAAAAAAAATAAATCTAGAATGCCAGAAGCAGGGGAGTGTTCTATGCAAAATACAGCTTGCTCAGCTGGATGCAGAATAGGGCTTTTATAATGGCAAGATGGCTGTAAAATTAAGAGTGGTGTAAAAGAGGCACTACCTGAATGAGCTCTAAAATTTGCCTCAATTAAAAAAAAAATTCCAGTATTATTGTGAATGGAATAAAATCCAAGTTGGAACACATTTGGAAGGTCTTACAACTGCACGAGCAGAGGATTTTAAAAAGTTGTATTCTTGGGAGGATATGACAGGGAAAAATCAAACTGATTTACATGACACTTGTATGGGCTCCTCAAACGTGGAAAAAGTCCTCCCCAAGGTGGCAGTATCAGCCTGCTTCACAGGTAATGTAGAACTCAGCTGGGGTCCCCTTGCTCTGCAGTCCTATGCTGAAATAAAATACCAGATCAGAAATGAGCTACAGCATTAGAAAACACAGGACAATTACAGGACTCTTCAAGCATCTCCCAAGATAAGAAATGTAAAAAGCATTTTTCTCTCTTCTGTCAGAAGAAACGTTTTAAATTTACATATAAAATACAAACTATAGCACCTTAATTAATTAATTTGAACATCAGTAATGGAAAGGTAGTAGTTAAGAAACAGAAGTGTTATTCACTGCTCCTTACATGACTCTTGAAAATCAAAGTCTTATGTTTTCACTAGCTTTTAAGATCAGTAATGGAAAGGTAGTAGTTAAGAAACAGAAGTGTTATTCACTGTTCCTTACATGACTCTTGAAAAATCAAAGTCTTATATTTTCACTAGCTTTTGAGTCAGTGACAATTTTTATGAGGCTTTAGATATAAGATATTAAAATCTGTCAGAATATCATCTTGTACAGAGTACAATAAAATTGCCTAGGATGCTTTTTACCACTGCTTGCTTCCAGTGAGTGACCTATCTTTTTTGTTTGCTTTGCTTTTGTATTTCGTTATTTTTGAAACGGCAATGAGAAAATCAAAACTGTGCCTATTAAGATTGGCAGGCAGGAAGGGTTCCTGCAACTGATAAAGGAAGCCTTGTACTACTCCTATGGAAATACCAAGCAAGCCTAGTGAGGAATTTTCAGGAATCTAAGGAAGTAAAATCCTTAATCTAATTGAACATAAGGATCATTTGTGTAACTAGCATCTTTATTTGACTTTGAATAAAGCAAGGCTAAAATACTTTGCAAGTAGCCATTAGTTTTGTATCTATGGAGTTAATTAGAGTTGCATTTTAGTCACATTAGTGTGTCAGCTGCTGTTCTATTGTAGTCCCTGTGATCACTCAGTTGGTTTGCACACACCCTAAACAAGCTCTCCATGATGCTTGTTAGGTTATACCAAGCAGGCTAGATCTTGTAAAACCAAAAGAGCAGCTTCTCTTTAGGCACATGGTATCTCTTACCATGTGTCGTCTTTCAGTTCCCACGCCTTCCCATCCCTTACAGCTTCTTTCCTGATGTGGGCTCTCATTTTAGCCCAAGATGATGCCATAATAAGTAATTTAAGATGTGCTTTGATGAATTTCTCTTACTTAGAGGAAACCCAGTGAGGCCATTTTATGGATTGCCACACACAAAGACAGGCTCTTAGCCTGCCCAAACAACATGAGAAATCCAGGAAGGTATGCAGTCCACATAGTCAGTGTGGCTTCACTACTGTTAGATGTGTAAATTCTAAGAAAGACCATCACTGCTGAGAGAGAAATAGGACAGATTTAGTGGTGTTCTTCTCCTTTTGGACTTCATTCACACAAAAATCTTCTGATTCCAAAGGAAGACACATACAAAGTACACTAAAGGTTCCTTAAAACAGATCATTATTTTTTTCCCTTGCTTAATGCAGTCCTTAGTATTCGTGGTATTTTCAAACATAAGTAATCAATTATCAGCAGTCTAGAAGATCATGTTTCTTTTGGCAGTGTAGGTGGCTATGTAGCTTGTGTGCCACTACCTTGGCATTGCTAAGGGGAAAGGAGGTGGGTTGTAGCTCCAGACTAAAGTTGAGATTGCACCAGATTTTGGGTGCTGTCTGTTTGTACAACTGTGGAAGCAGCTCCTCAAGTTCCCACTGTACTTCTTACAGTGGATTATGGGTTCAGGACAAATACTACTGGCAGAAAGGCAGATTGAGGACTCACTTTGCCTTTGAATCTTTGAAAAAAAATCAAACAGAATTGTCAGAGTGGGGATAAAACAGCAGCTGGACTCTCCCCCCCCCCTTATTCTCTAAAGGAATCACTAAGATCCACAAGATGTCTTTGTCTTTCTGTTGCAAACAGGCAACTTCAGATTAGAAAGCAGTGTATTTGTCATGCTCATCTGGTAAGACTCTGCTGTGGAAGTAGTGCAGGAATTCCTTGTGTTGGCAGGAATGATAATCCTCTAAGCACTCTGCTTCTCCATATGCTTAGAACAGCAGTGTAACAAGCCACAGGAACAGAGTCTCTTCTTGTTAGTATGGTTTGGTGTGACATGGCTTTTCAAAATGTGGGGGAATGCAATGTAAAGTAGGGCATGTCACTTACTGCTGCAGGGTGCCAGCTTCTTAATTCTCTTAACACCCCCCACCTCCTCCATTATTTAAGTGATGATTTTCGAGGGCATGTCACTTACTGCTGCCAGCTTCTTAATTCTCTTAACACCCCCCCACCTTCTTCATCATTTAAGTGATGATTTTCCCCATGGCACCATATCAATTTGTTTTTTAATATGCAAGGAATGTTTCTAATACACCATATTGTGCTATGCTGTCTATTGATCAGGTTACTTAGAGATATTTCAACTACTTTGTTTTCACCAGTGTTGCCACAAAATGCTTTCCTCAATATAAAGGTTGGACATAAGTCCCTAGTGACAGGTCTGGCTATAAGACTGTGCCACAAGGCTGGCATGTTTGTGTCTGCTCATGGCTTCATGAGAAAAATGGAAAACAGGCCAAGAAATTAAGGTGATAGTGCAAGGAAGTCTATACACATATAAATAATATTTTAAAGCAACAACAATAAAATGACCACCAACAAACCAAATTAATAAACAGTTGATTTCACAGGCACATATTTGGAAAAGAAGCAATTATCAGAAAGAATGAAAATACAGACTTAAGAATACTTTTTTCTCCTTTTTCCCTTATACACACTTGGATGAATTCTGTGACTTGCCTCATACATCTCCTGTTGAGACCACATGAGTCAGGGTACCAGACTCATTCACTTTCTTGTGCTTAGCCTCAAAATGTGTCCATGTGTAAAAGCATTTTGCCCCTGAGACAAAATCCTGTGAAGAGTGAGCATATTTGGAAGCTCAGGAAACCCAGATCTGGCTGTTATTTCTGTAACACTCATTCCCTAATTCTGAGAAGCTGC